TGAGACCCCAGGGTCAAGAAATTCACAATTTTGGTAAAGCACCTTAAGACCCTTCCATCTATGAAGAGTATTTGATTCTACCATATCTGGGTCTTGAGAAGAAGATTTTTGAAACTTTAGTCAATTTGACCCTTTTTGGCCCCGCCCCTCAGGCCCCTGGGGGCTTAGGACTAAACCGGCAACTATTTTTGTTGACCTTTGTCCATGGAAGGTTCCTGCAAAATTTCATTGAAATTGGTTCAGTGGTTTTGGAGAGGAAGTCGAAAATGTAAATTGTTTATGGATGCACGACGGACGACGACGGACAAAAGGCGATCGCAATAAGGTCATTTGAGACTTTGTCTCAGGTGACCTAAAAAAATGTAAATGCAAAAATTTGTGAGTCCAGCTACCAGCCACAGGACCATCCATAAAATAGATATGGTTAAATATGGTCCATCCCATCATCTAACTACACCGGTGTATAAAGTCTGGTAATACAGTGTGTGTAACAGCAGATTTTAAACTTACATTTTTAGCAACATACAAAACACATATAAAGGGCTCAATACAAATTCTCGACCAAAGCCAATACTAGCATTCAACCTCAGTACCAAAATTTTGCACAGAAATCCAAACATGGTTGTTGGAGTAGTAGTTTTAGATTGAACTACATTTGCATATTCCAAATTTGGTCATGACTGGTACATTTTCAAAGCCATGCTGAGCTAAATTTACAGTGATATCGTCCCAAAGAAAACTGAAACTTATGATTTACTTCACAATTTCATGCTGGCATAATAACAAAATAAATTCAGTTTGTCAGGCATTCATTCAAACAACAAGATTTTATACTAATTTCTTCTTATTCTCAAATGGAAACAATTCCATTCATGTGACCTCAAAAACTAAAAAACAAAAATGGGCACTGGAGTTTAGTCTTTGTGAAATGAAAATATCAACCACACACAAAAGACTACAATATGAGGAGTATACAACATGTACATGGTGTACAGTAAAATCTACTTCACTCAAGCAAACTGGCCAAACCCAATAAATCTGGGCTGATGTAATTACATCTTGGCCATGCTTACTATTGAAATGGTCTGAAAAAAATGTTAGATGGCAAACACTTCCTTAGTAAAAAGGCTGTTATGTTTGGTTTGGTTTGATTTGGTTTAATTTTGTTTGATTTTGTTTAACGTCCTATTAACAACAAGGTCATTTAAGGACGTGCCTCCATGTGTGTAGTGTATGCATAATTGTGTGTGTGTATGCAGGAGACAGGGTATCTTGGTGTGCTTGCCTCCTTGTGATGGCGCGAATCTGATGCCGACTTTATAGTGCTATCTCACTGAAATGCCATGCCGAAGGCACCTACCACAACATTCCGCCCGGTCACATTATACTGACAACGGGTGAACCAGCTGTTATGTATAAGTACATTTTCATAGATATAAAATATACACTGACCCAATAAAGAGGCCAGCAGAATTATATAAAGGTTACAGCACGAGTATATATATATATATGCTATAATGAAGCACCAATGAAGGTGTAAAAGATAAGTACTTAATGATGGCCTATTGATAGAAGTACAGGTATACCAACATGGTAATACAAGCCTGGGCCTACCTACCTAGCAGTTGGTAACAATTGTACAAATTCTATATAAACCAGCTCAAACCATATGGTCATATTGCTATTTAATAAACACAAAGTTTCAGCTAGATTTATCTTATTTGGTAAACCAATATTTTACTTGAAACTTAACTACATGTATTAGCTAAAATTTTAGGTTACTAGTAAACAACACATGGTCAAATATCCATGGACATGGTGTTCACTTTAATAGATGTTTATTTATCAACTGGATCAAGATGTATTTTACCTTTTGAGGCGATTTTCATTAGGTTTTGAACTTGTGGTTACTTGATGTGTGTAGGTGTTGGATGTAACTATGTATAATACAGATTTGGTATGACAACTTAATTTCTTTTTCAATCCCCAAATGCTGAGAAATACCAAAACTACCAGTGTAGAATTTTTAAGAATATCTCCCTAACTCAAACAGACACTGATAATCTACACAACACCATAGCTGTATGTTCACCCGTGGCCAAAGTTTAAACAGCTCCCAATAGATACATTTATTATATATTCTTAACGATACAGCTTTTCTGGGCACATAACAAAACATAAAAAACCACTTCTAGTTTTTAATTTCAATATTAATAACATTTTGCATATCACACATATAAATCATTTCAGAATAAAATCTTATTCTTGTTAATAAATGATTCTCCTCTACTGAAATTTTCTTGTGTACAACACAAAGAACACTTCAAACATAACAACTAGAACCATTTGTAAGTCAAGCTGGTAACAAAATTTCTGTTTTTAAATTCTCAAACTATTAGGCTTTGTAATGAGATATAAAAAGTCACAAAAAATAGTAAAGATGAGACTTTAAAACTCCTGAAGTGCAAATTTGTGTCAGTGTCCTTCAGTAGATACCAGCTGGTATTCAGTACAGATCTTATTAAAGGAGCTCTCAACACCTGTGATTATTGTGCCATTTTCCTTTGCACATTTAAAATTTAACTTCACTAGAGATACTACACCTCCTTCCTTCACCTACCCCCACCCCCAAAACAATTCCCTGTTTTGATGAGATGTTCAAACAATACTTTTCTTTGCAAGGCAAATATTCAAAACCATTTTATACCTTAGAGAATTCTTTATTTCTGTATCATATGATAACAGGTATGTGACAAATCAAAGGAAGGCTTAACACCTATATACTCTCCTTACTAATGAATTGTACACTATGATAAAGGCAAAATTTTCTTTTAACATATAAATATTAAGAGGTTGATACCTACATATACAATGTGTGAATCAAAAGAGGCACACTATGAACACTGTAAATCAAACTAGTATCATTTGGTTGATGGTAAAATGTCTGATAATCGGATGTCATTCCAAGTGAAGATACATGAAAGATCAATATTGTAGCAGAACGTTTTGATTATTTCCTAAACACTGGACATTTTTAATTCATTCAAAGGCAATGATTTTTTCTTCATTCAGATTTAAGTATACTACAAGCAGAACTGTAACAAGTTCATCTGTAAGAATTGTTACACTCCGTGACTATGGAAAAAAAATAATCATCTAATCGGTTTCCTATCTTTATACTTTGCTATCTTTATACTTTGTGGTTTTAAATATCCAAACTAATCTGTAATCATTTTTTTCATATCATTCATTCCACTTCCATACTTTTAAACACATGGCAGTTCTGAGGGCAGACCCATTAAAATCACTCTGATGACACTAGATAGCATGTGTGTAAACTAATTAAAATGGCACAATGATGTTCCCAAAAGTCTAGGTCCAGAGTTGTCAAGAACCTGATGGATATGGAATATTTCATCCAATTACAAATTTTCCGAAAAGAAATATAATAAAGAGTATCACATAAATAAATTTTCTGACAACAACAAAGATGTAAGAAACTCCTTTTAATATTCTTTGTACAATATGAACCCTATCAGACCGCTTGATCGGTCAATAAATAGTGACGGACCTACAATGTGAAAAGGCAGAAAAGGTCAGCAAATTGTGAAGTGGCTTCCTCAGATTTCCCATGTAAAGTATTAAAGATGAGAAATTTGGTTTTAATCATATTGGAAATCATCAATCATAACCAAGACACATTTTTTCTGTTTACACCTAAACCAAATCTAGGTAGTATTTTAACTTTAGAGTCCATTCCAAATCCCACACAGGTGTGTATTCTGTAGCAGTACCGACTAACAGACTAGTGTCTGTGTATCCTACATGCGACTGTAACGACTGACAGACTGATGACAGTTGGGACAAGTGTGGATGACATCTTTACATCCGTCAACGCAGAATGGGATAACACAGCAAGGTATGCATCTGAAACAGAAAACACATCACTGGTCAGCTGGTGACAGAGTTCTGATCTATTTCGTGGTAATAGTTCAATGTTTTTTCTTTAATTTGCATTGTTTTTATCACTCAAATCAGAATATTTCAAATTTGTATATCTGGCCCCATAATTAAAGGTGAGACATACAATCAATGCATTTTTACTCTATGACTTCAGGGAAACATTACAAATTGTTTGATAGCAAAAGATACAATGTTGTACTTCCCAAACAATTAAACTGTCGTGTTCAAAAGCTGATCGATGATTGGTCTATGTTGAAAACAGTCCTTAGATGCACAAGGAATCTGTCTTCTATATACTTAACAACCTCTGTAGCAAATTACTTGCTAATAAAGTTAAAAAAAGACAATTAATGAAAAGTCGAGAAGCAAAACCAACTGCATGTGTAAATTTCTAACACATGTCTAAATTTCTAACACTGAAAGATATTGGGAGGATAGTAGCAGGGTTTTGCAAAAACATAAGTTCTACATACATACATGAAAGATCAGTCACAAAATACTCGTCAACATTACTCAGCATGCAGTAGGGGATTATTTAAAAAAAACTTTGTAATGCACCTATAATCTAAAACAAAATCTGAAAAACATATTAACATAGGGACACTCATTGTGATGCAATACTTGTATAATTCCTTTTTGGGGACATTAGCAAAGTGAAGGCTTTGTAATGTAAAGATTCCCAGTTCGACCCCTGCAGTTTTCTTGTTGTTTTTTTGGGTTTTTTTTTCAAACATTCAAATTTTGAACAACTACATTTCTGTAAAATGCATGGCAACATATTATTTTCATGAAATATTCCTTTTGAGAATCAGATGTTCTTAAAGACATATTTTACAATAGTAACATTGATAATAATATAGCTGAACTTGTTGGTACCCTAATTAACATTAATTGTAATCGTGGCCAAATACCTCGCCCATATTTCAAACCATCAACTCAAGGTTTATAGGGCTTTAAAACTCTTCATATTTAATAAAAAATATCTCAATCAGAGGCCATGGGTGCCATCTTAGATTTTCAGGTCAACATGAGATGTATTAACAATTAATAGGGACGTCATAAAAAACATTTGTACCAAATTTGGATTCAGTCTCAGCAGCTTTTCTTCAGAAAAAAAGTGCAAAAAGTCTCGGACAATCAGAGGCTAGGGCTGCCATCTTGTATTGTTTGAATCTGTACAAAAGCAGGAAAACTTGTTGGGGACCTCATAAGGAACATAGGTACAAAATGTGGAGTCAATCATTGCAGTTGTTCCTAAGAAGAAGTTGAAAATATCTCTGCCAATCAGAGTAGAGGGTGGCAATCTTGGATTTTCAGGTCAACTTGAAAAGTAACAATACTTGTCGGGGACCTTATAAAGACCATTAGTAACAAATTTGAGTCAAACGGTATAGCTCAGTAAAGGTCTCAGGTAATCAGAGGGCCAGACAGCCATCTTGGATTTATGGATTGGCACAAATAACACCTGTTGGAACCTCACTAGGGACATTTGCACCAAGTTTGAAGTCGGCCATTGATGAGAAAAAATTGAAAATGTCCCAGTTTCAGCTGTTCTTAAGAGGTAAAAAATGTCTCAGCCAATCAGAGGCCATGGTGGCCATTTTGGATTAGCGGATTGCAAGAAACATTTGTTCTAAGTTTGAAGTCAATCTGTTCAGTGATTCTGAAGAAGTTAAGAATGGAAATCGTAACATACTACAGACAACAAAACAATGACAAAAGAGGAAAAAAGATGGTAATAACTTACATAAGCAATCAAGTGACCTAAAAAATGCATAATTATTGCTTCTCTTTGCCTATGACAGTCAGACACTCTCGATACCATAACATGTCCTGGCAACACTTTGTATAATATGCATGTATATAGACTATAATCTCTATATATCAGAATAACCATTGCCCATTTGTACATGACAGTTTAGCAGGATGGAAACGCAATACTGTTTCTAAAACTTTGTCACATCAAAGAAATGGCCATGGGATAAAAAAAAAAAACACCCATTAGTAGATCAAATCTGAAAGTTTTGATGTTTTGATCTCAGTAATACGTAAAATGTTACTATCCTATAAATAAGCCACTCAGATCTTAGAGAACTTAATTATGATGGTTCTAAACAAGTGATTTAAGGGTTCTTAACCAGTATTTATAGGCCTTAGATCAAGTTAAAGGCAAGTAATATATTTAGTAGGTGGCATATCAATTTCATGATATAGGCATATGTTGGTTACTAATCATGTCATGTTATC